AAAAGAACTACCAGCCATCTAGTGTTTATTTGTACAGAGGCCACTCACCACCACCACGCTTGTCTGCAGTGGGCCACACAAGTGGGGTGATGTGATTTTCCTGTCTTCACCCTTGGTATCCACGAAGCTGTGCTTACCACCACCCTTCCCCCTTCATGCCTCTGCTCAGGAATCCAGTGGGAAGGCCCCGTGTGACAACCCGAGGATCCTGCAGAGCAAGAATGAGGCTTCCCACACTATCCTATCAGCTCCAGAACTGTTTAGGTTGCAAAGGTTCAGGAGACTGATGATAGGAATTGATAACAATAATAAATTACATTTAGAGCTTCTAATAATGCCCCAAACATAAAATCCAAGCATTCTGCAGTGATTCAAACAATGGAACACATTATCCCAGCTGCCATCAGGGGTCTTCCCTTACTAAGTAAGTGGTTTGCTTGTAAATGGCCTCAAGGAAGTAACAACAGGGTAGGAACATACTGCCAACATTCATTTCATTCCTTCTGAACAAACTAAGCATAATAATCAACACAGCCACCAACCAGCAACTACAGATTAGGACTCTGTAAGCCATGATTTTAAACCCAGAATGACAGTAACTGCTTCTTCTCAGGCTAATTTTGTGTTTCAGAGCCAGCAGTCCTGACATGCTGAGTCAAGAAGAGAAAGAAGTTCTTCACCAGACTCTAAGGTTGGGAGCAAAACGCAGCACAAGGTTCCTCTACTGAATGCTGGACAGAGTATCTGAGAACTCAATGAGGAGGAGCAGGAAAAGTCATAATCTAGAACTTAAATATATAAAAATGCGTTAACAAGTCAAGGCTGGTTTAACTATAAGAGAAATTGACAGTTTTATTTTTTTAATTCCTGAGTATCTCTAAATACCACAGCTCATTTCAGTGAATGGCACAAAAACTGCAGAATTAAGTTCACTAATGCAGCCAATCTGCTTAGTTTTAGCTTTGGGTAGAAATGAAAGGGATTAAAACATCTGAAAAGAATATGGCTCTCTAAAATGTCAATACTTGTTACAAAATTCCTTACATGTTTCCAGCATAAATAATATTACAATAACTGGAAAGCATATGGTATCTTACACAAGAACCGGAGCCCCAGCCTCAGCCATCTTTTCTCTGCTGGGGCAGAGACAGCTCATGTGCCTTGATTTCAGCACGACAGTCGGACAGGCAAAGCACAGACGAACACGTCCTACCGAGTCGGGCAGCAAGCAGGCTCAATTCAGAGCAGGGCTTGTCCTTTATCCTCTGACTTCCACAACAAACACCATCTGTCTGCCACTCCAGAGGAGCTTCTGGAAATTCTATCCTTTGTGTTCCCTTCGCAGACACAGCCCGGAAGTTTATTTTACTCCTAACAAACAGACCACACCAGAAAAGTCTTTCTCCAGATGATGAGGATACCTGCCAGTATCTCTGGAGACTGGGGAAGCAAACCCTGAACTGTTGGGTGAGACCTAGTGATTCCCGCCCTGGGGAGCCAAAGGACACCACTGCCTGGTGTAAATGGAGTTCCCTTATGCTCCATGACAGCCACATGCTGCCAGACACTGCTGGCCATCTTCCGACATCTTTCCCAATTAGAAAGGGGGGCGGATGGAATATTCTATGCGTTTGAACTTTAGAAAAGCAACTTCTAGAGTCTGTGGTCACTGAACACTATGATTTGTGGTTCTTCAGCTCTGTTTACCCATGACCCGTTCGGGACACAATGAATGCTACGGATCTTCATTTCTCTCGCTGAAACATTCTGCACAGAAGTCCTGCACACCCTGTGGGCCTGAGTCCCCCAGAACCTTTGGTAATCACGGTGAAGGTAGCTACATTGATGCCCTCTGCTCCGAGGAGGGCAGTGTACATTGCTTGTATTTCCATCTATGCTCACACACTACTGCCTATATGGGCAGAGTAGCTTGTGTCCCTGCCTTAAACCTCTATACTAGAAGAGGTTCTGAGATCTCCCAGGGCAAAGCTCAACATCTACCCTGTATGCAGACAGAAGTGGCTAAAGCGTCAGAAGCAGCCTCAAAGGTAGGTTGGGTAGGACGGGCTTGGAAAGACAGGTGAGGCAGGCAGAGTAATAGGGACTGATATGGGCACACACCCTACCTGGAACAACTCAGGGACTGATATGGGCACATACCCTACC